CCGGGGCACCGGGCTGCGCTCCCGGCCGAGCGCCGCGCTCCGCTTGCCCTGCCAGCAATGATTTTTAAGAAGAGATCCACCCCTCTGCCTCCAAAGTTTTTTTTTGTGTGTTTTTTTTTTCCCCTCTGTTCCCCCCCCTCCTTCACTAGTGCCAATTGTTTATAGCTCCCTCTTGTCTGACTCGCCCCAAGCCCTCTGTCTTTCTGCCTTGCTTTTCACTAACAAGTAAACATTCATTGGCGTTGGGAACGCTGGGCTTATTGAGAGACTGACCAGTTTTTAAAAAAGCCTTTTTCGTTGTTTATAGAAATTGTAGCACCATCACAAGTGATGGTCTGCAGACAGCCATGTTGGCTCTGTCTCACAGAGAACAGGGAAGGTTACGCATACCTACAAAGGGAGAGTTAGACGTCCAAACTATTATTCATTTAAAATGCATTTTAAATAACACGACTAAGCTTCCTCCCGTTATTATTTAACTGAACTTGGCTCTAGCCCGGGAAACGCTAGGATCCTTCGGAGATGGAAATCCATACAGTGCACGGAAGTTATAACCTTAACTTTACTAGAAACCATTTATTCACATGAAAAAGACATTGGCCCATGCTTTTGGATGACAATAGAAACATATATATATTTTTTTTATATAGCGAACGTACATTTACCATCTCTTAAATAAACCGCATTCACTTAAAGGGAGGAGAGTGTTACCCTAGCTCAAAAGCAACATCAGAGCCCCCCCGCATTCAATGAATTGTAAGCAAAAACTACCAGACACACTGCAGGTCCATTGCTGGTACTGTGGTAGAAGAAAAAAAAAAAGCACCTTTGGCGAGAAACACTTGAAAGTGGACAGTAGGATTTACCCTAGTTTCCCCTTATCAGGAATCTGCTCCGCCAAGCCCCGAAATCTCCAGTGGCCATTCAGTGTGTTGAGTTGCACATGAAAATGAAACTTTGAGTTCCGCAGGGTGGATGTGTCATGTAAACCAATATACTTTTGCATTCAGATGGCAGGTCAGAGATATTGTTTGGTTTTCTTCTTTCTTCTTTTTCTCTTGCTCTCTTTCTTTTTTAATTTTTTCCCTTTCTTTTTTTTTTTTTTTTTTTTTTTTTTTTTCAAAACAAGGGATTCCCAGTGAAATATTGGAGTCGATCTCTGTTCAGTTTCTTTTCTTTCATCCTTCGATTCTGGAACCAGATTTTAACTTGCCGGTCAGTGAGGTTGAGCATTCTGGACAACTGCAGTCTTTTCTCTTTGTTTATGTACACGTTGAAGAAAAACTCCCGTTCCAGTTCTCTTATCTGATATTTGGTATAGGGACACCTCTTTTTCCTTGATCGCTGGGGGATTGCTGAAATTCAAGAGAGAATAAACTGATTTATGCTGCTGCTACAAACATGCTCAGCTAGGAAGAGATCAGAGACTTTGACAATATCCCATTGCCTGGAAAGCAGCCCTCTAGCAGTTCAAAAAAACATTCCTGGGGCTTTTACCCTCTGGGTGACTTAGCAAAAAAGCGAATATTTCCCAACTTCTCCTTAAAAGAGAGCACTTCGAGCAATACAGAGAGATATTTAAATGGGCTGGAAAAATTCCAAGTTTCTCAAACTCCTCTCACCCACACCCCACACCCCCCCCGCCCCAAACAAACGAAGATCTTAAGCTCTGTACCGAAGGCAGCTCTGAGCACTACCTGTGAAACCTCCCCGTCTCCCCCCCACCAAATCAACAATTTAATAACAATTAATATCCTCTTCCAAGAATACCTTAAGCCCACCTAAATTGGTTTCCTATCGTAAACACGCTTTACAACGGCAAAGGAAATCTTATAGGATATATAAAATCCTTTGGATGCTTATAAAATTGCACATAAAATGCGGCTTGACAAAGTGTTGGCCTTGTACTCTTGCCCCCAATTTACTACTGATACCTACCTGAACTGTTGCTCTTCTCTGCAACAGCCTCACCAGAAGGGGAATCGGCGCTGTTTGCTGGTGTCACTTTCTTCTCTTGGCTGGAAGGTGTTTTACTGCAAGTGTTGTTCTGGGCTTTCAAGTCGCCCTTGTCCGCGTCCCCCTCGCCCTCGGAGTGCTGCTGGTACGGGGGTCCGGGGGCTGTCTCGTAAAACTGGTCGAAGCCTTGCGGCAGAATGCCGTTCCTCCCCACCGAGCTGTAGAAGTTGGAGGCGGCGGGAGACGGTCCGTGGTGGCCGCAGACAGGGTCCGTTTTGAATAACATTTCCGTCCTCCTGTTCGCAGGCTGCAGAAAGTCTCTGTGCATCACCTCTTCAGCTGAGTAATAAGGAGCATAACTGCCCCTATACTGCCATTTGCTGCGCTCTAATCCGTATTCCCTGAATGCTACTTCGCGCACAGGTTGGACATGAGGTAAATTAGAAGAATAAGGAAAAGTCATTTGACAGGACGACGATTGCGACAAAAAAGAGGGTTTCGTCGAGAAATCTGAGGGTGAGACGTAATAAGCGCACCCTGGCAGATACATATTGGATGTGCCGTGACTGCAATCGTCAAACTCAGTCATGTCTTCCTTTTTGCGATTGCAAGCAACCAGGAGGCTTCAATGCATTGAACAAGATCCATCTATTGCACAAGAGGGTTTGGACAGGATCAACTAAGAAAAAATCCCCACCGTGTGCTGACGTGCAATTCATCTTGATTGATTCTAGTGGTAATTATGTCACGTGACGCGATGTAGAAATGTCCTTATATCTATATCAGCCCCTCGGAAAGGCTCCTAAGATCTCTCCAAAGAGCCCTCCCAGCACGGAGAGACGAGCGCAGCGTTTCCACAAATATAGCCGGTTTTCCCCCTCATCCTTCCACTGGGCGATGAGACACACGTCGGTGGTGCGGCTAATCACCTGGGGCCGCGCCGCGCCGCCAGGGCGGGCGCCTGCCCACCGCCGCCGCCGCCCGGCGCGGAGCCCCGCGGCCGCCCTGCCTTCGAGGGCTCCTTTTTGCCAATTTTCTTTTTCTCCTTGAAATATCATTTTACATAGGCGAGCACAAACCGGGTCGCAAAGGCTGAAAAGAGAGGAGAACAAGTAATACGCGCCAGCAATAGCCCTATGCTCGAGCAATTCCTCATTCCAGAAACGTTTGCCAGCTCTCTATGGGAATGCCTTTTTTTCCGCCACTGTACAGCATAGCCAGAGTAGCCCCGCCACATGCCGCTCTCCAGATAAACCCGAAATCTGGTCGAGCTCTCCACGCCGAGCAGGGTCGGCCCCTGCCACCCAGGCG